AAAAAAAACGATTAGAATCTTTTTGCTTAGTAAGTATCATTGGAAATTGCTCAGAATACTTCTGGTGAATCTTTTCATCTTTAATCTCCAATTTTTCAGTGAGTTCTTGGCGTGCCCTGTTCTAGCATAAAGTGGGACTTACAATGTTTCTAGCAAAGACTGCCCACAGTGATGATTAATGAGTAGTGAGACTCGTAATAGCTGATTTTCCATGAATAAACGACGATATATCTGAGGGTTACCTAAGTACAGTCCACATAAACAGAACAGTGAAACGTGATGGGTACGAAATGAAAAATCCTTTGTAGGAACCTGTATGTTGACATACTTGAATTTAACATATTAATTATATTTATCATTGTTAGATCTACAATATATTATACATCAATTAATGTATTTCAATGTCATCACTTGGCTGCATGTCTTCTTTTGAACAATCCGCTCATTTGGTTTTCCTCTAGTCGATCCTCATCATCCGGCGTCGCTTGGACTAACTTTTCTCCCGTTGCCGCCGACGTCATTTCATCGACGTTTGCTTTTTCTGCGTTCTCTTTCTGCGTTTCTTGTTCCTCTTCTTGTTCTTGTGAGAACTTCTCACTTGATCCTTTGAAAACAGAGTTTTGATCATCTGGGACCACCTTCTTTGAAGAAAAGGCCTTTTATAACTGCCTATTTCTCTATCAGGCAAGTGTTTCGTATTAGACCTTTTGTCAGGCTCTTCCTTCTCGTTCAACATGCGACTCTTAACATGTCTTTTATGCATTTTTTCTTCCTCTTAAGAATTGCAGGTGTTTTTCTCCCGAAGTTAAAAATGTAATTTGTGTAAATTTTCCTTTTTTTCTGTTCCTCTTCTAAATTTTTTCTCAGCGCTTCTCTAGGATATATCTTGTAGTGAAGCAGGTTGTAAATACCAAAATCTTGTAAAACTTACTTTTGGTCATCACGTTCTTCTCTCGATAGATTTATACTCTCACTTCTTCTTAGGCTTTTCATCATAAATTATCATGCGTAGGAAAAGTGTTAACGCTAGATTTAGATTACCCACAATTATGCCAATGATAACAGTATCTGGTAAAACCATTACTGGTTCTATTGTGATGCTGATATCTTGGAGCCAGATCAAATTATTATATGTTCGGCTGGGTTATTGACCGTGCCAATTTGTCATATTTTCACCTGTGATTGTTGTAAGATTGATTGAAGTACCTGGCAAATTTTTGTTTTCCATTTTGATTTTCCAAGTCTTTATGTTCAATAAGGGTAAAAATAATTTATAGGTTTTAATGTGTCGTTTTGAGTGTTTCACTATTTTCCTTGCCATTTTTATTTGTAATCAGTCCTCCTTTACTTTTTTTGCTACTTTCGTTTCTGAAATCCTC